CTCTCTGCCTACGGTTTACCGGGCAGTTCTATTTGTGACGATATATATATATATATATATATATATATATATATATATATATATATATATATTTTTGCGTAGAGCTACGTGTTCCGGATCCTGCGCATCAATTCTGTTTTTCTGGAAAGTGCGGGAGCGGCCTATTTTCACGTTTAACGCGAATTCAACGGGATTTTTTTGAATTTAACGGGATTCAACGGGAGTTTAATTCCCCCGTTCTCCGTTAAAAAGATACATAGCCTGAATGGTCCTGAAGTGGTGAAGGGTGTCGTGAAGTGGTCAAGTGAGAGTTTTGGGCAGTCTGAAAATCCTGAATGGTCCTGAAGTGGTGGAAGGTCTGAAGATCATGAAAAACACCCTTCACCACTTGAGGATGTGGCCAGCCTAAACAGGTGGTTTTCAAGGTCTTCGGAGCTTTCACCACTTCAGGACCATTCAGGATTTTCAGACCTGAATGGTCCTGAAGTGGTGGAAGGTCTGAAGACCTTGAAAACCACTTGTTTAGGCAGACTTCATCCTGAAGTGGGGTGATGAAAAATACGACTGTTGTTAACCTTCTCTCGGAATAAGACAACGTACACCTTCGATCAGAGCTATTGCTGGAAGATCCTCGACTTCCTGAAGTCTCGTGGGTTCCGAGACAACAAATGTACTTCGGGGAGGGCGCACAAGGGGGAGGAGGAGGAGGAGGATAACGAGGACGAGAGGAGGGAGGCCCAGGGTCGAGAGGATGGTGATGACAGTGATAGGTCGATCATGGACGTGCGAAGACAGGAGGAGCGCGCGAGGGCCAAGATGAGGGGGGAGAAGGTCGTTGACGAGGACAACACTCCGGGGCCAGGGCGAGGACAACGACGACGACGACGCCCATCATGACGCAAACATTGGAGCCTCTCTTGATGGGGGGCTGGTGGTCGGTGAGCGTCGAGGCCAAGAGGGGCCTGCCAGAGCGATGATGGAGGCAAGGAGATCGAAGAAAAGAAAAAGGAAGGCGAAGAAAACTGTCACGGACACTCCGCCGACACAACCGCTGTTGAAAAAGAGCAGAGTCCTTGGACAGACTTCTATGGTCGAGGCCTTCGATCCAGTCTGGGACCGAGGTTTTTACAAAAACTTTCTGCAATGGTACTACGTGAGCGGCTTTCCATTCGAGGCGGCGAGGCGGATCGAATACCGTAGACTGAGGAAGTACTTGCTGGAGTGCCCCTCGTACATACATCCTGCGTTGCCCACACATCGTGCCATTGTGGTGGAAGGCATCCCTGATCAGCAGTGAGTTGTGGCGGACTTGGTGGCGGTCGTCTACAAGGACATTGTGGTGACGGGAGCGACTATCCTTATGGCTGGTCGCAAGTCCATCACGGGAGCGTACCTTTTCAGGACGACGCAGCGGGACGGTGTTGTTGAGGAAAAGAACGAGGTCGTGGCCCAGCGATGGAAGGACGTGTTCATGTTCGACAAGTTCGGTGTCGACAATCTCAACGCCATTTGCACAGACTCCGCATCGACGTATGTGGCTGCTTCTAAGCTTCTCGCAAAGGAGGAGCTCAAGTACAGCGCATCACTTGGCTTCCTTGTGCGGTCCATGTTTGCAACTTATTGTTGTCAAACATCGAGATGGATGACACCAATGGGAAGATTGGAAAGAGAGAGGATACCATTATCAGGGCTCAAGTGGTAGTGCATTTCATTAAAGAGCACGGGGTTGCTCTCAGCCTTTATCGACGGTACTCGTCCGCCCACCTGTCTTCCTCCTCCGCAGCTGCGACCAGTTCTGGCATTGCACCTGCGATGACTCACCTGCGAGGCAGAGAGCTCATGTACCCTACAGAGATGAGGTTCGCCACTCACTATTTGATGTTGGAGAGGTTGTTAGATCGTCGTCGAGCGCTGAAGGCATTGATGATGAGCGATCATTGGTTAACGACTGCATGGAGGAGGTTCATTTTCTTGCAGGCTAAGTGGGTGCGTCATCAGGTGTGGTACGTGCCATTTTGGAAGCATGTGGAGGACATCGTGGAGGTGATAACGCATGTGATGAAGTTGCTACGTCGTTTGGACAGAGGGGGGCGCGTCATGACTCGCATGTGGTCGTGGGCTATGAATGCCTCGCGGTCATGACCGCGGGGTCAATCTCGGCCCGCGGTCGGGATCCCAACCGCCGAGGTCGGCTGCGGGCGAAGGTCGCGGTCGGAAAACCCCAACATTCTTAATTCCTAGGATAATAGGCCAAAAAAAAAAGCAAAAAATGTGGGGTTGTAGGTTGTTTTGCGCTCTACAACCGTATATTTTTAGTTTTTTTTTTTGACTTCGTTTTGGATTTAAAAAAAAATAAAAAACAGAAATCCCTCACCCAAAAGTTATTCACTTTATTCTTTTAGTAAGAAAAATAAAGGATTTTGTTTGTTTTTTATCTCAAATTTGGTAACGAGTTTTGATATGACCCCAAGGCAAAAACTGTTCAGTTTATTTTTTGGCATAAAATATATTGTTTTGCAGATTTTTCTGAATTCTTTGTTTTTTTTTTTTTTTTTTTCCTTGACAGAGGGCCCGCGGTCGCAACTGCAGTCCGCGGTCATGCCCGCGGTGACCGCGGCCGCGGGGGATATATAGGTCGTGGGGGCTTAGCGTGGTTGACAGGGTGGCGAGAGCCAGACTGAAGAGGACGACGATCGAGGAGCTCAACATCATCATTCAGGCTTGTCAGGCGCGGGTGGATTATATGCTAGAACCGACACATTGCACGGCCCAGTGCACACCTCCTGAACCCGCGCCACATGAACATCATGTTTTTCGGAGCGGCAAGGCGGAGCGAGAACGACAAGGTTTGGCTGAGGCGGCACAACGATACCTCCGCATGATTACAAGCAATGGCGAGGCTTTATATCAGACATTTCGCTCGCAGCTGGCGGAGTTCCACAGTCGAGAGTGCGATTGGACGTGTAGAGGGGTTGAAGGTGAGAAGGACGGGGTCTCCTGCAGAGGGGAGAAGGAGACGTTGCAGGTCGGGCAATGGTGGGTGTAGCACGGAGATGGGGTCCCTCTCCTTTAGACTTACGCTATTCGTTTGACGCACACATGGACGTGCGCCTCTCCAGCGGAGAGGAACTGGACCGTCCACAAAGTGTTCAGGTGAAGAGGCGTAACGAGCTTGGTTTCATCAAGCTCACTAGATTGGTGGAGATCTCCACCAACTTAAGATTGATTCGTTGTCAGTGGAGGGGTTCAGGGTATGTTATGCCATGGGAGGACGATGAGGAGGAGGCAAAGGAGGTTATTCCTCCGCCTCGTGACGAGGGTGTTCGGCCAGCCGACCGAGTCATTGAGGCGCAACGTGACCGATAGGTGCAACGCGGGCAGAGGGATCGGCTTTAGAAGGCACCACCCAACGTGGAGATGTATTTCGGTCGTCGCGCTACTGTGCTCATGGCGATAGAGTTGGACTCCGTCGACGCTCTCAAGCCTGATCCTGTGGCTCATGACCTGATTGACCTCGGAGCTGTGGTCTGATCCATACGACCTGTGGGTGGAGTCAGGGCAGGGAGGTTGTGATGAGAATCGCAACGACGCTCCTCTCACCGAGAGGATGCGTCCTCGAAAGCATGGTTTCACTACAGCCCCTACACTGCATCCCCCTCCACCTCGACCTTTGACTACTCATAAGCCGTGACGTTCCACTACGAGGCCCTGAGGACTGGGTTGGGGGCACGATTTCGCACCCTCCGACCGATCGTTGTGTACATGGCGAGTAGGGCAGTCAAGGAAATGTTGAGGAGGGTGACGACGACGACGATGACGGTGTCAAGAGGGGGTACGAGGGCAGCAGTGAGGACGATGATGATCCTGGCTATTCCCCGACCCACCCACATGGAGACGACGACGAGGTCGACCATTGTACACAAGCTGCGGGCGGTTTACGGAGGTCCGAGAGACATCGTGGTGATAGATGGAGTGGTGCCGACAGGGGAGGCAGGGGGCCGGGTGTTGGGGGTGAGGGGCACACAGGTGGAGCAGGCCGTGGGGTGAGGGGCACACAGGTGGAGCAGGCCGTGGGGTGAGGGGCACACAGGTGGTGCAAGCCGTGATGGTGGAGGACGGACGAGGCGAGAGTCTGCATCTTCCACTCGTATTGTGCATTGGGATGATGAGGGTGCCGCAACAGCACAGGTTGCTGCCACGTCGGGAGAGGTTGTCGCCTCATCGGCAGAGGTTGTTGCCGCGTCTGCAGAGGTTAGTGAACGCGTCTACACAGGCTACTGCCACGTTTACAGAGGTTGGTGGCACGTCTGCGGAGGTTGGGGGGGCGTCTGCGCAGTTTGGTGTCAGTTTCAGTGATGACATTTTTGGTACGTCGTTAGGGCTTCCTCCGACGCCGGCAGGCGAGCGTGGTAGTGGTGGTGTGGACGTAGAGGCTACGCCCATCAGTCAGATACTTAGAGGTATGCCTTCATGGAGCGTGGGTGACATCAGTACCAGCATGTTGTGGGAGGTAGCGGAGGAGATACAGGGTTCCTTGGAGCAACACGAGCATCCAGTAGGGGATGATGGGGAGTGTCGACTTGTGCTGTTGTGCAAGAGCGAGTGCCACAGTCGGACCACGATAGGATGGACCGCGAGGAGAGGGAGAGGGCGCTCGAGTTGGCTAGGAATTCCGAGATGACATAAAGTATTGTGGCGAGGGCACTTGCAGAGCGGATGCGCGAGACAGGGGATCATGGTGCAGGTCATCGTACGACGGAGGATGCAAAGGTTGAGTGTAGCCCTGAGGTCGGCTGGGAAGCAGGTGACAGACCTGCATCGGCAGTTCAAAGTATTTACACTAGAGCTTTGTCGGGGGGGAATTAGAACGGCAGGCAATGCAATACCCATTGCGGGCAGATCGACGCGGACGGATGGATGAGGCGTCGAGGAGGGTCATGGCAGAGGGCCCAACTTATGTGTCGTGCAGCCCGTCATTGCCATCATCTACGACAGATGTCATTCCGACTACTGATGTTGAGGGTCCAGGCCCGACACTGAGTCCCACATCGGCACCTGGTGGGGAGTCTCCGTCTCCCGAATCGCGGAGGAAGAAGATGAGAGCAGGAAATAGTCCTAGTACTGTGAGGAGGGTAACCCACTAGATGCAGGCGAGTTAGTCAGGGTTGGCCGGTTTACATCCGCAGACTCGGGAGGCATTGGGCGGGACGTTGGCGCGGACACTGTGGGTTGGCGGCACGAGGCCTCTACCCAGGGGACGGAGCAGCCCATGAGCGCACCTGCTGAGGCGGTGCTGCCACGTGCTGGAGGGCGGACTTTCGCGACCAGCAGGGACGAGCATGACGAGCACAGTTGTCACCATGGGAGGAGCATGACCGGATATATATTGGGGGAGGATGTGAGGGCATTGACAACGCAGTGATCGTCATAGACACCTGTTGGCTGGGAGTCGGGTACCGACGGTTTGGAGATGCCAGTTGACCAGCGGAGGAAGGTTTTCGTCGACGACCTTTGTTGAGCACAGGGCAGGGTTGAGGCGGCAGCACAGGGAGGGATTCATGCTCCGAACATGGTGCATGGGCCTATAGGTGGCACAGGTGGCGAGGATGGTATCACAGGTGTGACACCGCAAAGGAGGGGGAGAGACATTGTGGAGGACGATGATGTTTAGTCCCACCATTGGTCAACTTTCGTCCTTTATTTGGTAGTTGTATATAGTACCTTTAGTTCTTCAGATAAGGATCATGAGGTCCCGTGTTGTCCCCCGTACGTCATACGAGGGGTCTCAGTACGGCCCGTGAGTACGGACGAACGAACGGCCGTACGAGCGTACGGACGATCTTCGTCCGAACGTGCCAGGGCCCAGTGTGGGGCCTGTCTCTTATACACATCTAGATGTGTATAAGAGACAGCTACTGTAGTCACCCCAAAGATCTAACCAGTTCGAAATACACCTGTCACATGTCACCCACGATTGTCACACTTTTTTTTTTTTTTTTTTTTTTTTTTTTTTTTCGCGGGGGGGAGGCGGCCCCCCCCCCCCCAAATCAATCAATCAATCAATCAATCAATCAATCAATCAATCAAAAGAAAAGAAAAAATGCAAAAAAAAAGGTCGCGCGTTCATATGTGTTGTGTGTTCGCGGGGCGATGGCGACTCCCCCCATGCAAATCAATCAATCAATCAATCAATCAAAAGAAAAAAAGAGAAAAAAAAAAAAAGGTCGCACGTTTGTGTGTGTGTGTGTGTGTGTGTGAGATGTGAAATGTAAATCACACTGAAAAGTCACACTCAAAGAGACGACAAAAGTCACACTCAAAGAGTCGACTGATTGACACATCAGATAGTTTCAACTTCTTCAAAATCAAACTTCAATACAGACATTACTAACAGGTTAACAACCTACACAGCACACCACACAAAGCCACAACTGTTATCCCATCGTAACAGTCAAACCACAAAAAAATATCCTAACGAGAATCTTGATTGGTATTCTTAATAATCCACGTAAGTTGTCGGAATTATATAGCTGGAGTATGAAAGCTTTGCTACGGATACACAATGTGGTGAACGATTTTTCACGTAAATCAACCAGGAAATACTTACGCAGTTTGATTTAATTTTTAGAATCATATTTGATGATCGTATTAGGATCTCGGAAGTTAGGAAGGTGGTTAACGACCCACTCATGTCTTGTGAATTACCACTGTGTTTTTTGCACAGGGCTCGGAAAAAACTTTGGATCGTGTGGACAAAAAATCCATGTGTATCTGAGTTATTGCACAATCACCGTAGTTATGTTACACGGGATGTGCTGACCTGCGCATGCGCAGGACTATCGTTTCCTTGTCAGGAAGGGCACGTTGTCTTCGGCGTTAGTGAGCTTGATGGTGTTCACCCGTTACTCACTAACGCCAAGAACATACCCCGTTTGCAGGATCGCAATCGCCTCTCGACACTTCGTGAGGAACTGTACACTGGATTTCGTGAATGGAGAAATCTAAGAGGTAATCCACCCGACATACACCCTGACGCTCTCTCATTCTGTTTCGGTGACCGTCGCAATTTGATGAAGTGCTTGTCCACGGGCGATGTTTTCGATTTCAAACGGCGCTTTGAGGACTTTGTGTTTACCCCGATTGATTGAAACCCGGGAGAGACTGTGGTAATGTGTCCAGCCTTGTATCACCAGGCCATGATGAGTACTTTCGTTCTCCACCCCGGTTACAGAATTTTGGTGTGCCCGGAAGGAGTTGTGCACAGAGAAATCTGGAAAGATATCAAGTCTGCTGGTTTGAAAAAAAATTCGAAATGGAATAGAGAAGGGAAGTTTGGTTTCGAGTATGTGATTCCTAAACAGAAAGATCTGAGTCGATACAGGCCAATCCACTCATTATTCAATGGTCTGATGATTCGTACGGGCAGGTTAGTGGCAATTTGGCAAAAGGACTCAAGCATTTGTTGTACGCCTTACCAAAACGGTGGCACTTCAACCTTCGTGCAGTCTCGGATCTGACTTCCACGTTAGACCTGTCGAACAGTAAGTTTCTTCGCTTAGGTAAGGATCACACTATCTCGTCCTTCTCATTTGATATCAAAGAAATGTTCAGTAGACTACCGCAGGAAGACATCTGCTGTGTCGTGGATTAGTTAATTAGCCATCATCTGGCGGAAGGGAGGACCATGGTGAGAGTCAACGGGAAAGGAAAGGGAGTCAGTTTCGGTTTGACCACTGCTAACGACAGTTGGACAAGGTTAGACTTGGAGGACATTAGGACTTTCGTTCGGATCGACGTTAAGCAATCATATTTTTTTGCGACCGGAGTATTATTGCAGCAAGTGTTGGGAGTGCTCATGGGGAAGAGTACGAGCCCTCCCCTTGCATGCATCATGTGTGCCTACTCTGAGTATCGCTTCCTTTGTACACTAAAGCAGGACACTCGTTATATTTTCGCTATGCGACTGATTGACGATGTGTTGTTGGCTGTGTCGAGCAAGGATGTTGGCTTCTATCCCCGCGTTCTGGACTTGTTTGTACAGTGTTATCCCTGGAATGTGACGCTAAAAAGGACAGATAACGGCTCCAGAGTAATGGATTTTCTAGGATGCAAAATACGCACCTCGCAGGTATATCCTTATCATGGATGTGTTCTACAGAGGGAGCAGTTGAAGAAAGATTTCCCCAACAATTTCTTCATGAGGGTCCTATCCCGTTTTGCTGTACGGCGTGGTGAGATATGGCGAAGGACAGTCGAATTCCTGTCATGAATAGGGTGTAGCCTTGGTTCCGAGTGATGCGCTACTTGTTTTACTTCTTTTCAGGAAACGACATCGTGGCTTCCATTTGCTGACGTGCACGATCTCTAAGGTCCCTCCTTTTTAAAAAAACCGCTTGCAACGAGCTTAAGCCAGAAAAGGCGCCATGTAGTATCCCCCTCCTGTATCTTGATGGTGCTTGCATTATTTCCTTCGGACAAAATATCATCAAGGAGACCATAAAAATTTATCTCCCATTTGTTAGATGAGGCGCGACGAAAGCGAATAGATGTGAAGGTATAAGGACGGGTAACTTTGTCAGGATGCAGCCTCTTACGTTCCTTTTTGCCTGGCATTGTTGATTTTTTTCTGCTGGCAATTTTATGGCTACCGGCGGTATTCAGGAAAGAAGACCATCAATTAATATACAACTCCTCCAACTTCCCCAAATCATCCCCCACCAACACATCGACGGGAATCAAAACTTAGTTTCCAAAACCAAACGTACTCAGCCATCTATGGAAATGAGACTGCGTACGAGAACGATATACATAGATATGTTTACGCCATCTAGTATGTACATCTCTCATTGTTTTCCCGACGTAAAAGGACTTACAAAAAGGAGAAATCGCAACGTATACGCAGGAAGTAAGATTCGTGAATTCAGGGTCGTGCTTTTCGTACAGTTTAACCCAACAGTCTACGAATTTACTCGCCCATCGTAACTCACCATGCAAGGCCAATACCACAACAACAAGTCTGAAAAGTCTATCGACTTTACGATCCACGCAGGTGGATTTACAGCGTAAACTGGCCAAACACCTGCAGATTGACCACAACCCCGAGATAATCAAAAGACTTAGTCGTTTCCCTTCGTTTTCTCCTCGGCTTGTCCTCAACCACCTCGGATCCAATAATCTGGATGACGTCAGCCTCCTGCGTCTCCTCCTTGCCTAGTGCCAACTCGGTCCTGTGCTCGAGAATTTCAAAGATTGCGTCGACCTTCTTGTCATAGTGAATCCCTTCTTCCTTGCAGATGCGCTGCAGTTCCGTTGCATCAAAATCCTTGAGTCTCTTCAACTCAGCATTCAGGTAACGTAAGCGTGTCAGTGCTCCCTTGGTCGTCGGAATCGGTTGCATACCAGGTGATAACTTCTTTGCTGAAGTCCTAGTCTTCTTCCTCGATAGTGGTGTCTTGACCGGAGTCCGCTTCTTCGGAGATATCGGTGATAGACCAGCATTCTTCTTGGTCCTGGCGCGTGTCATTCTTGCCGTTAGCTGCACCAGTTTCATAATGCCTCGCTCCGGTGTCCACTTTCGATGCTGCTCCATGGGAGGACTATCCTCAAACACTGGTTCGGGTCCATGTTTTCTCTTTTCAGATAGACAGAGTTTCCTCGTCTTAGCACTCAATTCCTGTGTCACACTCGTTTCACAGTCATAATCGCTGTACTACCCGGAAGTTGAATGCTCCGACTCATGGATGACCTGCTCCTTTCCTTTACCGCTGCTTCGTACTCCGATAGGTGTCCCTCCAGCTGGTTGCCAAGAGCGGAAGTACCTTTTCTGCATCTCGCTCATCTGAATCGCCAACTGGGTACTCATATCCTTCCTCATCTCCGCTCGGAATTCCGCTTCCTTGCGTATCTTCTCTTTCTTCCGTTGCGCTTTCCTTTCCCGTCTCCGCCTTTCTTCCTCCTCCAGTCTCTTCGTCTCTTCCTCAAGCCGTTTGGCTTCCTCCTTCGCTTGCTTCCTCATAATCTTCTCTTCTTTCCTCGCGCGATCGGCGTCAATCTTCTCCTTCATAACCGCGACACTCTTACCCTGCTCAGCAATCTGGGCGCGTACAGCCGGGTCAAGTTGCGAGGACTGATGGTGTCTCCCCGCATCATAGCGTCTTGGCGACCTGCTTCTCCGCGAATCACTCGACGTCGAAGGATGAGCTGAACTGGGATATCTCTTAGAACGATTTGGGCATTGATTCGCGTAATGCCCCTGCTCGTTACAGGCGAAACATGTCGGAGGTCGATACAATCTCTTTTCCCTCCTTCCATCGTTATTACCTCCTCCTTCGCGTTGCTCGCCCCTAGACATGGCTGCTGCTCGACAGTCCCATAACTCTTGTCATGCAAACTCCACTGTACTCTGAGGTATTAGTTGCTAATCAGGAAATCACGCTCACTCAGTCCCGGTAGGATATCTCCAGGCAAGTTCACGTGCGTGGTATAGATATGAGATGTAAATCACACTGAAAAGTCACACTCAAAGAGACGACAAAAGAAAAAAAAGCCGCAATGCAAATCAATCAATCAAAAGAAAAAGAAGGCCGCGCGTTTGTGTGTGTGTGCGTGTGTGTGTTCGCAGGGGGGAGGCGACCCCCCCAACACAAATCAATCAATCAATCAATCAAAAGAAAAAAAAAGGTCGCGCGTTTATGCGTGTGTGTGTGTATATGTGTGTGTGTGTGTGTATGCGTGTGTGTGTGTGTGTGTTCGCGGGAGGGAGGCGAGCCCCCCACTGCATGTCAATCAATCAATCAAGCAAGCAAGCAATTAATCAATCGATCATTCTTTGAATGGATTTTGTTTGCTTTTTTTTTTTGTTTTTTTTTTTTTTTTACGACCAATCAATCAATCATTCAATCAACCATTGGCAATCAATCAATCAATCAATTAAACAATCAATCAATCAATCAATCAACCAATTAATCAATCAATCAATCCTTCTTTTTTTTTTTTACACTTGGGACAATATATATATATATATATATATATATATATATATATTCTTTTTGAATGGGGGGCTACCCAGCTACCCCCCGACATCCGACCCCCCCCCAACCCATCCACCCCCTCAACACGCCCCGGGAAGGCCACGTACGGAGGGCCCAAAGTCTGTACGTATGGGTTGTACGGACGCTGAGGGCCTGTACGTACGCTCGTACGGAAGTACGGAACGACCATCCCTGTATAGGGTGACGACAATGATGAGGTCATGTATTCATAGGTGCATTATGTAAAGGTCGTCATGACTGCATGTATACTCATATACAAGTTTTTTCATTTTTTTTTCCTTTTATTTGTCCACCAATGTTTCAGACGATTGCAAACTATCTTTTTACATTGTTTGACTGATTTCAGTCTCCATTCTTCTTTTATTGTCGTGTGTTTATGGTGCAACTGTTTTGTTGTCTGTGTCGTTGGCCTCTCAAGTTCTTGTTTCAAAATTTCTGCAACGAATAATACTCGTAGATGATGGTGAATGACTCAATGCTTTTCAATATTGTCGTTTCATGAACTTGATTCAGTCTTGATGTAGTCATGAACTTGTTTCGTCGTGTGTTTCATTCGCCTCTCATGCACTTCTTAGTAACCCCCACACACCCCTCCCCAACCCCCCAAGACGAGTCTGGCAAAGCCATCCCCAACCCCCCCCCAGGCTAAACTTTTCCCTTGTCGAGCGCCAACAACGACCCTGGCAATGCGAACGACAACACCTCAAAACATTTTCCCCAAACGAGCCTCTCCCCAAACCCAAAGTCCTCGAAAGCCATCCCGCACCTGTAATATGTGATTTGACCGATATGTGAAATGTGCCTGGGCTTAGGAGTGGTGCGGGGGGTGCCGGGGTCGGCGGTTTCGGGCTGCCTGTTCGGGTAGGGTTCTGTAGTTTTACCCGACGAAGATTTTTTTTTTTGTTTTTTTTACGGCTGCCATACCTCCACCCATGCCCCCCATTGCCGAACCCGTCCCCGACAACCCTATATAAAAAATTATTTCACCCCCACTCCCCCCACCCCTAATACTTTGTTTTTGCAGATGGAATCCCCCCGATACCCGACACCCTCCCTCCCGAAAAACAATCCTGACCCCCCCCCAAGACCACGTACGGACGGTCGGAACTCCGTATGTACAGCCCGTACAGGGGCGCAGGGGCCGTACGTACGGTCGTACAGGAGTACGTACGAGCCGTCCCCATACGAGGTGACGACACAGACCCCAACCGTCTACACCTCTACACCCCTCACCAACCCGCCCATAAAACTTCTTAACTCCAATTAACACCCCTTGCCAGACCCTTACCCCGAAAACCCCCATAAGACCCATCCCAAGACCAATCCACACCCGATCACCAACCAAAACCCGCACACCTCCACGTACAATGTAGTTGTCCCACCTTTTTTTTGTTTTTTTACTATTTTCTTTTTGTTTTTTTTTCTTCGTTGTCTTGTGAATCTATGAAACGCCTGCGGACGCGTCTGCGGCCAGCCTGGTCCGTGCTGTGGACCCGATTTTACGTGATTTTTCCTGAATTAAATAATGGGTGAAAAAATATATATATATATGGGGTTGTAGGGAATTTTAATCCCTACAACCCCTTTTTTTTTTTTTTGGAAACATATATTTTTTAAAAATTATAAAAAATAAAAAACAGAAAAGGTGAAGAAGAGAAATTAAAAAATAAATTTAAGAAAAAGTTCTTTTTTTTTTTCTGGGCTTTTTGGTTGGCAGTTCTTTGTATTCTTCATTTTTGCGTATTTTTTGTTTTTTGTGTCCTAAGGAAACAATCAACGGAATGGAAAAATATATATATATATATTTTCTTGGGCCTTTTAATATTTGTTTGTGTGTGTGTTTGTCTGTGTGTGTGTGTGTGTGT